GGGGCAGCGGGCGTGGGGAGGCACTTTTCCTCTGCCCGGCAGCTCTGCGGGACCCCAGTCGGAGCCGGCCCGAGGAGGAGGAGGATCCTAGGACCCAGGTGAGCGAGCCCCGGGAATGCTGCTGCGCATGTGCGGGAGTTGCCTCACCCCGTTCGTATCTAGGGATCCGACGTAAGTCGGATCCACGTAAGTCGGGGACTGCCTGTACTTTAAAACAAATGAAAATTGTTTTCAATAAAATTCATAAATGTATAAATATTATTTTTTTAATCGTAAAATGTTATTGTAATGGAATTTTGTCACAGAACCCTTATTTTCACTTTGTGGAACCCCTGGGGTTCTGCAGAACACCTTTTGGGAAACACTGCTCTAGGCCCATAGCGGGGTGGTGGAGGGGCAGCAGCGCCAGTGTGGGCTCCCTAATGCTAAGGGGAGCCCTGAGCCTGAGGGGTCGGATCCAGGCAATCTGGGGGATGCATCTGGTCCCCAGGCCTTAGGTTCCCCACCCCTGCCTTAGATTTTCTTTGCACGTGACCTTACCTACCAGTTCTCTGAGTTTGGTGAAGGCAAGTGTCCTTATTCTGCTGCTCTCAGTGCTTCCATTCCTCAGAGGTGTGAACTTGCTCATTTCCTGATAATTTTTCACCCAAATTACATTCCACCTCTGCGTTTGCTACCACTTCCTCCCTCTTGCTGAGAATCACGTCTACATGGTTGTCCTGGTTACATCTGCTTCTTTCACACCTTTACTAGATGACCTGATGAACCCCTTTGAACTTACACCCTCAGAAACGGACCCAACTGTGAAAGTGATCTTGAGCCGTTCTGTTGCTCAAAACTGAACAAGTCCAATTCCAGTCACCCAGTGACCCTCCCCAGCAACCATCCGGAGCTAGGCACTTTCCTGTGGGACTGGGCCACAGTTGGGCCTGCAATTAGACTGGTCCCAGGTCCACCGCCTCCCCCTCACCGATAAGACTGTGCTGTCCCACTCAACACCCCTGAAACCCTGTAGTGAGCAGGCTGTTATTGGATATTTCTATCCCCTGTCCCTGGGATTAGCTAGTAATAGCCCACCCCTATGATAGGCCCTGACCTGCAGGGATCAGACAGTGCTGCCCAAGACCCTGCAGGGATCAAGGCAGGCCACAGGCTTTGGGTCCTGGGGGTGCCTGGGCCCCCCACCTCCCTACAGCACTTGCAGCCCATGGGCTTAGTGAAAGTGAAGGACTCGGGGTGCAGCACCTACTTCTATCAGCTGAGATCTGGGGGCACAGAGGGATTGTCAGCAGGGATTGGTGCTTTTGGTTTCTGCAGAGGGATCTTCAGGAATTGTGGGGCCTAGGAGGTCAGCAGCTCTATAGCGAGAGGAGCAGTGACTGGAGGGGTTGGCCTCCATATGGAGGGAGCCTTGGGGGTTGTGGAACTCTGTCTGGGGTCTATAGAGGGAACATAAGGAGGGTGCACTTGCACCTCCCAAGATCTTCAGGAACGCAAGGGGCATAGCTAGGAGTAAAGCTAGTGGTTCTGGTTCCCAGCCCCCTGTTCTAAACACTAGACCCCACTCTGCTTCCAGAGCCAAGATAGAGCCCAGGAGTCCTGACCCCTCACTGGCTGTTGGGGGGAGGATCCGGTGGAGTTCCCAGGCAATGATTTGCAGGAGCAGCCCTGCTGGTGGATCAGCAGCATCTGGAAGGGTATGTCTGCACTGCAAGCTAAAGTTCAATGAAGATCCGCAACCTCAGCAGACACACAAATGGGGTCACCTGATTGGTTAAATGGGGTGGGGGAGCAGTAGCCAATGAGAGGGGAGTGTCACTCCAGTGCTCCCCCACCCTGCAGGAAGAGGGCAGGGCTGAGTGGGGCAGGGAAAGGATGGGGGCACAAAGGGGGAAGCAAGGGGTCACTGGGAGGTGTACAGGGAAGGGGGGGTCAATGTGAGGGGAGGCGGTTGCTGAGGTGCAAGAGGGAGGGTATCATGCCGGTGCTGCCCCCAGGTGAAAGAGGATACGGGGTGGGGCTGTAAGGTGGGTTCTAGGTGAGATGAGGTTACTGCAGGACTGCTACACAACATAACCAACTCCATAGCTACTCAACAGGACAACATAAATACGCACCGCAACCAGTGCTATAGCATTAACCTATAAGCTTTTGCTTATCTGTTAATCAACTATACTATAACATCCCTAGTGTAGACATGCCCCAGGAGTCCTGCTTCTCAGAATAGAACCCAAGGCTCTGGAACCTCCCGGCCATTCTCACTACCTTGAAGATTTGGTCCTAGTCAGTGGGGCTTGGATTTCAGCTACAGGCCTGAGCCCCGGCAAGCCTGTTGTACTTAAAAGAAGTACTCGGGATCTTTTTCAGGGGGATAATGCCACATGTATTGATCACACATAGAATAATCAACCCTTATCATATGCATATGATATCTATCTATCTATCTATCTATCTATCACTCATGCACTCACACACACACAAGCACACTCCGTCTTGCTGTTGTTACCAACGAGTTGCTCCCCTTAACTGCACTGGCCTGGTGAGTTAGATGGGGGAAGGGTGGAGCCGGGCTTCTGCGGATCCGGATCGATGCTCCAATGGTGACAAGACGAAACCCGGGGTCCTCTGCAAGACACCTCACTTTTCTAGCATCCCTCTCATATGCAGATATATCCCAGATTCAAACTCTGGGTCTGTGTCCATTCGTCCCTTTGTGCTGCAGAGAGGGTGTTTTCCAAAGAAGGTGCCTGCTTCTAATCCCCAAGGATTGGATTTCTTCAGCCCACTTGACACCTTGGGAGCAATTTAGATACCTAGCATGGCTACCTGAAATGGTAATTTGAATACAAGAACCACTTGAAATAGATTGTACTGAGTTACCTCCCAATCTTATTTATAAGTAGAAAATGAGGTAGTGTCTATTAATTCACTTGTTAAGACTACATGATCTCTTGGAAACCATTGCTTTCTATTTCTGGACCTTAAATGGTTAAATTAGGATACTTGACAATGGAGGAGAATACAATCTAGTATAATCAGATTTGTGTTCACTCAGCTTATCCATGTTGTTAAGATTTTATGTCATGGACTCATGTTGGTTGCCTCAGGCATAATACAAAAGCTCAAATGTGGTGCCAGCCCGGCAGACCCATTACAAGGATGTCTGCACTACAGGGGGCAGTTGCTCCTACGGTCTTTGGATTCTGGGGCACCATTACCTGGGGGGGCAAGGTAGGCACCAGAGGATGGTGCCCCGGGCTAAATGCCCCCACCAGTAGAGCAGATGAGCCAGGGGAACTGACAGAACAATGCCCCATTGTCTCCAAATCTGTCCATCTGGCACAGACCTTGAGAGCCCAGCAGCAGGTCTGAGGCTGCGTGGAGGTCTGAGACCCAACCCCCACACCTCAGATCTCTCTTCTCATGCCCCCGGATTTCACACCTACTGCTCCTCAGCTCCACAGTTTCCCTCACTCTCCTGCCCATGCCTGGGCTAGCACTGAGCTGCTACTGCCATGGGGCCTGGAGTGTGGAGTCCCTGCCTCCTGCTGCTGTGGGGCTGGAGCTGGGGCTGTGCCCTTCCAGCTGGCTCCATCCTGCCCCCGGGACTCAGCAAGGTAAGGGATGGAGGGTGAACCCAGAGGGAGCAATTTGGGATGGGGGGGCGGAGGGGGCCAGAAAGCCAGAGTGTCTGTAACAAGTGCCACTGGCTACTGTGCTCAGCCCAGCACCTTGGTGCATGTCGGATACTCCAGGGATGGGAGTTGGGCGGCACCACCAAAAGGGGTGAGTCCAGGAACCATTCCCACTGCAGGACAGCCTGTGCCTCATGCACCAGCGGCTGCACATTCCCCCATGCTCCATGTGCCTCTCTGAGCCCAAACAGCACATAGACACCAACACTCCCCCCATCCACCCCTCTGTTCCCACACACATCAGAGGGCTCCTCCACCTCATACCCCAAAGCAGGGATAGCCGGTGGAGGTGGGAGACTGAGGGGCATGAGCAGAGCTGGGTGGGAGCGCACAGCCAAGGGCTTGGATGGTAGGGGGTTGTGGTTCAGGACCTGAGGGGCACTGGCAGAGCTGTAGGATGGGGACCCAGGAAATAGGGGCTACGCGGGGATTTGGGGCATGAGCAGAGCTAGGAGGAGAGAACTGAGCATGAGGAATGGAACAGGACACTGGTTACTGGGATGCCCCTTCACTCCCACACTGCCTCACCGGTTTGTCCATTTCAGGCTGAAGTGACCCGAATGTTCAAGGATTTTATGATTCAATTCAACAGGACTTACAGGAGCCCTGCAGGTGATGGATGGGGGGATGGGGGACTCTTCCTGGGGGGCTCACGTGGGAGAACGTGGGTGGCAGCAGGGGAAAGAGGGGCTGTGGCCAAGTGAGCAGACTAGCTCGATCCCTTTCTCCTCGCCTCTGAGCCAAGCTTTCCCCGGGCCACACGTGTGCCAGGCCCAGGCAGGGGTGGGGTTGGAGGCCTCTGCTGCTGTCTTGCCCTTTCCATTATACCCGCTTCCCCCGCTGCCCAGGTCTCGCTAGCAGTGGAAAGAGACACTGGAAAATGAAAATTCCTGCCCCTGATGGTAGGTCTGGGGGGCAGGATGTTTAGTGCCACCAGCTAGGGGTCTCCTGCACCCCAGAGCCCATGAACCTCCTCCCCCTCCAGAACAGCAGAGACGCTTCGGGATCTTCACGCAGAGTCTGCTTGCGGCACAGCAGCTGCAGGAGACGGAGCTGGGCACGGGGCAGTATGGAGTGACCCTCTTCAGTAACTTGACAGGTGGGACCCCCAACTCCTCACATCCCTCAGCCCTGCAGATGTGTACCCCTTCCCACTCCTACAGCTCAGCACCTGTCCTGTGACCCCCCTTCTCTGTCCACACCACTTGGTACCCCTCATGTCCCTCACCATGCTGCACCCACTTCTCCTACCCCCACAGCTGGGCACCCCTAGACCCTATTCCCACCCCATCACTCGGCACCCCTCCCATGAACCCTCTTTCTCTTCCCCACCATTTGCCCTCCTCCCCCACCACCAACACTCTGCACCTTCCATCTACCCTCAAAGCTCTGCACTCCTCCCATCCCAGTCCCCACCACTCTGCCCCCTCTTCCCAGTCTTTATGAGTCTGCACCTTTCCTATGTACCCCCTCTTCTCCTCCCCATGGTGCCTCTTCCTCTACCTCCCACCTCTTTGCACCCCTCTCTTCCCCTTCCAGCACCCCTCAGTGCCATCTCCCTCTGTCCCCCCAGATGAGGAGTTCCATGGCATATTTCAAAGCCACCCACCCCCCAGCATGGCCCAGGCCCCCGGCTCCCGAGGGGGAAGCTGCCCACATCCTGCAATTGGAGGAAGGCCGGGGCTGTGACTGCTGTGAGGAACCAGGTAGTTGGGAGCGGGGCCCACAAATCATCAGTTAAATGTGACAGGACGGGTGTGGCTTGGTAGTAATAACCCCTCCCCCCATTGCTAACCCCAGTCAGCGCCTCTCTGCCTCAGCTGGGGCACTGGGATCAGTGCTGAGGGCAGGAAGAGCTCCCCCTTGAGCTCCACAGCACCCCCTAGTGCCATGCTGGGCCTCCCCTCCCCTCTCTCTGCAGGGAATGGAGTGTCGCTCATGCTGGGCATTTGCTGCCGTCTCCAACATCGAGTCCCTCTGGAACATCCACTTCCACCAGCCCCGGAACCTCTCGGTGCAAGGTAGGGACATGGGGATGGGAAGCCCCCTCGACTGGAACCGGATGGGACACCCCAGCCAGCGCTGCCCTGCTGTGCGCAGCCCCCAACAGGCTGTGGTGAATGGGGCGCAGAGGAGGGGGTGTCTGGGGATGTTGGAAGATCCTTCCCAGCTCAGAATCCTGGTATGTGTGTGAGTGCATGTAAAGAACTCTCTTCACTTCCTGCCCCTGGAAGCTTTTAACTTTTGACATGCCTGGGAGTGTGGGGTAGAAAGGGACCCCACATGGGGTTTCATATATCTGCACCCTATTGGCACTCACTGGTGTCACTTGCCTCCTGGTAGATTTGGAACCCTTCTCCCCACTGTATTATCATAGAATACTAGGACTGGAGGGGACCCGAGAGGTCATCGAGTCTAATCTCCTGCCGCCATGGCAGGCCCAAATACTGTCTAGACCATCCCTGATAGACATTTATCTAACCTGCTCTTAAATATCTCCAGAGATGGAGATTCCACAACCTCCCTGGGCAATTTATTCCAGTGTTTAACCACCCTGACAGTTAGGAAGTTTTTCCTAATGTCCAACCCAAAACTCCCTTGCTGCAGTTTAAGCCCATTGCTTCTTGTTCTATCCCCAGAGGTCAAGATGAACACGTTTTCTCTCTCCTCCAACTGATCCCTGCCTGAGGTACTCTCCTCCACCAGCTGTTAAAGCTGGGGATGGCAGGTGCCACAAGTATTTCCATCCAGGGGTGGGAAAATCACCCCCCCGGAGCCACAATGGGAAGTCCCACCTGCCAAATGAGCCAGGTGCTCACTGGGGTCTATCATGGTCAGTACCTGCTGCCCAGCAGGGGCAGGATTTCAGAGTGTGACGGGGATGAGTGGGAGCTGGCTTGGTGCTCACCCCGTGCTTCCTTTGCAGAGGTGTTGGACTGCAGCTGGTGTGGAGCAGGGTGTAAAGGGGGTTACGTGTGGGATGCCTTCAATGTGGTGCTCTGTTTACGTACGTAGGCACTGGAGGGACATGGGTCCTTTACCCTGCAAACTGCCCGCATGCCCCAGGACTGGCCCCATTGCACTCCCACAACAGTTTCGCTGCAATATTTTAGTTCCTGGGGACTCACCCCAACCCAGACTGGAGCCCCTCCCCAGTGTGCCAGGTGCTGCACAAACATAATCAAAATTGGGGCCCATAGCACTGCACAGCCCCCAGCCCAGTCTGCAGCCCCCAGCACTGGTGCTGCCCAGATCCTGACCCAGATGGGTGCCGGTCTCTGCACAGACCCACTGAGATTGGAACCCCCCCATCGTGTCAGAGGCTGCAAGGACCCTGACCCAGACCCAGTGCAGTCTCCCTGGTACTGTGCACAGAAGGAGTCCTCTTCTCAGTCCTAGTCCCTCCTCTGAATGCACTCTGACAGGCTGTGGGGGGAGGGGAGATTGACTCTGCTGCTTGAGTCTGGAAGGGGAGGTGAGTAGAGCAGGGAATAAGGGGCTCTGGGCCCATCCCATCCCTTTCACATACACTTGCTTCCAGGAGGTCTGACCAGCGAGGATGACTACCCCTACACAGGGAGAGAGGAGAAATGCAAGAGCTGTGATGATCGTGGTGCCTATATCCAGGGCTTCCTGACGCTGCCTAGAGATGAGGAGGGTGAGGCCTGGGAGGAGAGGAATGGGGATATGGGATGGGCGATCTGGACCATTTTGGGTGGAGCGGTGGGGCAAAGGGAGTGAGGGGCAGTAGAACAGGAAGGGGGGGGGGTGACAAAGAGGGCTGGTGGGAGGGGGCAGGGCCAGAACTGATCAAGACCTGGTCAGTTTCCAGGCAGCCGTTCATGGAGTGATGTGGAGCTGGTTAGTTTTGTGCTTTCCCTGGGGGAGCTCTGAGTAGAAGAGGGGGAAGGTGAGGGATGTTGGGGGCCCAGAGGACACAGGGCAGGACAAGGGGCAGTGTAGCCAGCCTGTGGGTACAGCAGCAGCCTGGTAGGGCCATGCCTGGATCTGGGGTGTTTGTTCCTGGGGTCTCCTCCCCACCCAGTTCATTTGGGTTTCCTATTCTAGAAATAGCTGCACATGTCGCATCTCAGGGCCCAATCACAGTTACCCTGAACTCGGCTGCCATGAAGGTATGTGCCCCCCAATTGCAGCAATGGGGGGAAGCCCTCTGGCTACGCACCCCATCCCACAGTGACCTGTACACTAAGCTCCCCCTCCCTTCCTGACTCACCTTCCCCTCATTTTTGTACCTCTGCAGCATTATCAAGAGGGCATCTCCCTGCCATCAGTGATCAGCTGCAGCCCAGACTATAGGGATCATGTTGCTCTGGTGGTTGGATTCGGAGCTGGTGAGTGGGTGCATCGGGGCAGGGGATGGGTAGTGCGTGGGTTTGTATTGGGTGAGAGGCTGGGCAGGGGGCTCAGCTGTCAAAAGCAACTTATGTCCCTTTTCTGTTCCCCACCAATTAATTGCAGAGAACAAAAAGCCGTACTGGGTCATCAAGAACTCCTGGGGGGAAGGATGGGGAGAGAAGGTGAGTGTGGGGCTGCCCACAGGACAGCATCATCCATGGGTGTGTTGGTTGGTTTTATCTGAAGACTATGCTGTGGGATCCTGCAGAGATGCAGCCACCTCTGAATAGGGTGCAGGTAGGCTCACCAATGAGGGGCAATGGGGTCCATTGTCCTGGGACTCGAATTTTCAAAGAGGCCTATAGCTCCTCGGGGAGTAAGTCAGCAGTGCTACCTCTCTTGGGGGGAGGGGTTTTACAGCCCTAAGACAGAGGTATGCCAATGTAAGTTCCCAGGCTGTGTCTACATTGGCGCGATCTTTCGCAAAAGTGGCCGCTTTTGCGCAAAAACTTGCTGCCTGTCTACACTGGCCACAAGGCCTGCGGTGGCTGTCAGCTTTGCTGTATACAGGGATCCCCTGCCTAAGGCACAGCCACCACCGGGGTGAGGAGTGGGCTTTTATTGTACATGCCCCAGCCAGGTTCCGACCCTGGCCCAGTTAGGTGCCAGGGCTGAGTGTGGGTTTGTCTACACTTGCAGCACAGCTGTTTGCCACCTCCACCCGTGGGAGGGGTTCTCCTGTCATTGAAGTTCACTCCTCTCTGCTAGGCTCACAGAATTGTTCCATCCACCTAGGTCAGCACTGCTACCCATCTTGGGGGGAGGGGGATTTTTACAGCCCTGAGACAGAGCTATGCCAATGTAAGTTCCCAGTGTACAGCAGCCCTGGGTGAGAAAAGGTCTCCAGTACCAACTGTCCCTAACCACGTGTCCACTCGGCAGGGATATTACTGTCTCTATCGTGGCACAAACGCCTGTGGTGTCGCCGAGTCCCCTGTAACAGCCATTGTGCAACGCTTAGGAGCCCCGGGAAGCAAGGTCCACTGCCCCCCTTGAACAGGGTGCTGCTGCTGCAGAGAGGCTGCTGACTCCCCTGCAATGACCTCTGCCACCATCAAGACAGAAAAAACTGGTTGGCACCATAGGCCTTCGCTGTGTGATGGGGAAATGAATTCAATACTCAGACCACTATAGCTCCACACCCACAGGTACCAGAGCTGGGTTCGGCCCTTCCAGCAGCACACATGCATGCACTGTCCCCGAGCCCAAACCCCTTTCCCTTTGCTGGAACAATGAATGGGGCCTGTGAAATATCCATTAAACTGCTTTTCTGTGCTCGGTGTGGCCCCTTTGGTTGATGGGGGTTTAATGGTTTATCTGCATGTATCTCCCTGAAACTTCCATGCTGTATACTCCACACACTGACATCCTCGGTAAAGCAACTGTGCTGGCTTTATTGGGATGCTGTGATCACAGCTCAGGTTTCTAAGTGTTGCCCCCAGGTTTCAGGGATGGAGGGAGGGAGGGTAGAACTTTCTTTGATGCTAAATTCCTTCCTCTAACCCCTCTGATGTAAAGACCAGGCCTGATCCCAGACAAAGCAGTTGGGCAGCCGCACGGAAGCTGGTCCACAAGGGGTGCCAGTTTAAAAACTAGCTCCCCTCACGGTCCGGCTGCCTGTTGCCCCACTCTGCTGCCTCTGAAACAAAGACAGAAGCGCGGGGTGACAGTAGCCCTTGTCCGAGAGGTGGGGTCTGAGCTCCCAGACCCAGCGTGAGCCAGAAATGAGCTGAGTTGCCTCCCTGCCTGGCCCCTAATACACTTTAAAAGCAGAACTGCAGCAGGGATAGGTCCCAGATCGGGCATGAACCAAGACTGAGAGCAGCTGCTCACCAGCCTGCTAAAAAATCTAGTGGTGGAGGGGAGGGGGAGAAATGCGTGTAGTCTATAGAATTAAGCTATGAGCTTTTGCTTATCGGTTAATTGACTACACGATTACATCCCTACTCCCCATCCGATTTGCAAGGAGTCCTGGGGAGGGAGCTGTGCTGAGAACAGGATGTCCATGCTCTGCACCAGGACTGGGATCCCAATGGCCTACTGCCTCAGTAGCGGGAGCAGGATAAATATTCGAGAAACAATATGGTATTGCAGGGCAGGACAGGAGCAGGATTTAAAAACAGTCCCGTGCAGGGCTCTACTTCAACCCACAGCAGCAAAAACTACCCAGCCCCCTCCCCTCTCCTCCGCTAGAGCTGTGGAGAAAATCCTGATTTTTCTCACCCTGTCTCCTGGTTCCATCCGAACGCCCGTCCCCCTTTCATTCCCAGCGGTGGGTGTCCCATGGCCTACTCACCACTGCATTCATCTTAAGGGGTTCCTGTAGGGTGGATGTGACAGGCGCGAGGCTGGACTCCAGCGCTTTGACATAGGCCCGGGCTGCCATCAGGCGCAGCCGGCACAGGTCCTTCTGGAACACATGGTGCATGGCTGGCGAGGGGCGAAGGGACAGCAAGGGAAGAAAGTCAGTCTGGGGGCAGCAGCCAATCGCCGGGGGGGGTCTCTACCTATTACAGAACCATAGGACTGGAAAGGATCTCAAGAGGGCATCTACTCTAGTCCCCTACACTCATGGCAGACTAAGTATGAATGGATCTGGGTTTATGGCTTATCTGCAGCACAGTGCCATTTGGTGTGGCACTGCGGCATCGGGGTCAGCACTGAACCCCTAACTGAGCCCCTATCCCGCCCCCCTGCAGTGCAGCGGCCCTTGGGGGATTGTGGCAGTATTGGTTGTGAGGGCACGGCACCCCTGACTGAGCCCCCAACCTGCTTTCTGCAGTGCAGCGCCTCCTGGGACATTGGAGCTGCATTTACTGTGAGACTGCTCCCTACTGAGCCCCCCTTCTGCTCCCTACAGTCCACCGCCCCAGTGGTGCCAGTACATTTACACTGACATGTTGAGCTGGTAAGTAAATCCCAATCCAGTGGTTTCTATCTTTCCCATGGTTGATGCTCAGAGTGAGACTGGAGGCTCTAAGGCTGGACCCACGGGAGGAGACCCATTGCTGGGGGAGAAGGGAATGGGAAATAGTGTGGGAGATGCGCCACTTCATCTCCCACCCCCAATCTCCACTCCTCCATCCTCATACCCCTGCATCCTCATCTTCTCCACCCCCTTCCTGGCACAAGCTGTCCCCCTCCATGCCCTCCACATTCCTGCCCCACTCACCCACAGCATTCTCACGCTCCCGCAGCGTCTGGTCTACATACAGCCTGGTTTTCTTGGGCACACTGAGTCGGATGCTCTGGGCCATGGGAGGCCCCAGCGACGTGTCCTTCTCCTCAAACACGGCTGTGCGCTTCAGAATCTTGATGATCAGCCCCCCGCCTGAAGAGTGGGGCATGTATTATTGAAGGAGCATTTCACAAGTGTCAAACTTTTCAGTTGGCTGTACTTAGAAATATGATTTTCCAAAACTCTGCAGTGAATGCTGCACTAGAGGTAAAGTGTTGTCGGGATAGAGTGCAAATGGGCACTAAGGTCCTGAAACCCCTCTCCCTGGGTCAGATCTATGGGCCCATCCCCTGTGTTGTGCTACCTGTAATAGTGGCCGGACCCTTTAATGCCCCTTGCTGAACTGCATGGCCCATGGGATTTGAATTCCTTCCTGGATGCCTGAGGGTGGAATTTCTGAGCTAAGATCAGTGTGTCCTGCACGCAGCCAGCAGCATTCCCTGCAGCATGCATTCAGTATTGCACAGCAGCGCAGGGAACTGAATGGTGCCCACCTGGCACGTCCTTTGCTCACCTTTAGTTGTCATGATGAGTGTGTTGTCTTCACGCCCATAGCGGCCAAAGCAAATGCTGGTGACCACATCCTGTGTGGGGGAAGCAACGGTATCAGGCAGCCCAGCCAGTGTTCTGGCTTCCTCATAAGCACCAGACCCGCATTCCTGGCTCCTAGTCTCCCCATTCTAACCCCCTAGACTCCACTTCTTCCCAGAGCTAGGGCTAGAACCCAAGAGACCTGGTTCCCAGTCTCCTACTCTAACCCATGAGACCATTCTCTTCCCAAAGCTGGGACAGAACCCAGGAGCCCTGCATTAGCCTTGGCACTGGCTTTGCCCAAAGGGGTAGTTACCTGGGTGTGGATGATGTCCACAAGATTCTTGTCTCGGTACATGTGCACCTCCTGGTTGGCCAGACTCAGCATCACGGCCTGGAAGCCCCGTGATTTCTGATCTAGCAGGCTCATGGTCATCAGTGGGGCTGGCAGATAGATTGTCCACAGCTTCTTCCCCTGTGCAAGAAAGGGACCTGGTGCTCAGATTCAGCCAACTGTAGGGTGAGGGGCAGAGGCTGTTTATCTGCCTCTGGGGTGGGACAGAGTTATTTACACAAGGATCCCTCATGTGACACCCTGAATGACCCTCTTAGCAGACCAGACTTAGACGGGAGCTATAGAGATCTCCCACTGATCCCCCAGGGAGAGGTACTTTGGTACCAGGAGGTGTAGGGAGCAGATATGGGGGTATACAGGATGCAGAACCTGTCCAGTTGATCCACTCCCCAGTGCTCTGGAGGTGGTGCCATCACCCACTCCCACCTTCTGGGTGTAGCCTTGCAGTGTCTCATCGGAGCAGCCAACCATGATGCTCTTGTGCACCCGCACGAGCCCCACGGGCTGGGCACTCAGCTCAATGCAGTATTTGGATCGCTTAGACTCCCTGGAGTGGGGAGAGAGGGCAGATAGGTCAGTGCCAGCCCACCACAGGGCTTATTGCCCCACCCAACCCCCACTTTGTACCCCCTGCCTGCCTTGGGTGTTCCCATGACACATACACCACCATGCCCTGGGACCCAGGGGATGGGACCAGGCAGGCCCCACATGCAGGAATGTTACAGCAAAGCGAGACCTTCAAGCACCAGGGCCTGGGCTGAGGTGCATTATGGGCAACTGGCACTGCTGGCTGTTGGGCAGGAGCTAGGCAGAGTACTGGGATGGGCCCATGGGTCCCATCAGAGAGGGAAGGGAATACCAGGCTGGAGAGAGCCCCGGGTCTGATCCAGGTGGATGTGGGGACATACAGGGTCCCTTATCTTACGTTCCTCAGCACTCCCCAGCCCTCTCTTGGCCCCACTGTAACCCAGGTATCCACTCACGGCTTGCTGTCACCTGCGCAGGATGTAGATGTTCCCATCCCTGCAGGCCACTGTGACCCGGTACTCCACATCGAACTGCCCCATCACGTCCAGGAAGGCAGGCACGCTAGGCAACGTCATCTGTAACAGCAAATGGAGAGCTGGGGCATCTCCACACATGCACACGAACGAGCTATATATGAGCTGGGGTGCCTTGCTTGGTGCTGAGATGCAGCCACCTCTGGGGTGGGGTACAGGTGCTGTTTATTTAGGGACCCCCTCACCCAGATCCCCACTCACCTTGGCCAAGATAGTGAAGGCCTCGGGGTCCAGGATGAGGATATCAGCACTCTCCGTCCCAATCACCAGGCAGCTGACCGCATCCTCATCCGCCATGTTCTTCTTCAGTGTGCTCATGCAGGTGATGACAGTCTGGACAGGGAGATAGGCATGCGAGGGGCATGGGCCTCTCCCCCTTCCTACCTGACGAGGGCAGTGCCAGTCTCCCCAGGGGACATGCTGGGAGGTAAGGGTACCTGGATCGCCCTGCTGGGACTCACAGGACAAGGGGTGGGGAGTGGAAATGACAATGCTAGAATACCATTGAGTCCTCCTCTCCAGATACAGAGCAGGGACCCACCTGACGCTTGATTGGTTGCCCCTTATGTAGGTTTACAAAACTCTCCATCTCGGATACATCTTGGGCCAGGAACCTGGGGACAGAGGAGAGAGAGAGGTGGACTGTGCTCTAGTCTCAGCCTGCTCTGCCCCACATTGTCCCCCTCTATCTCCTTAGGATGGGAGATAGAGAGTCCCCAAACTTTGGGACAACTTACCCCAGAGAGCCTATGCTCCTCGCACCACCCACCTCTTCCACTACCAGGATCCCTCCCCAATTCCCAACCCCCCTGGCTTGTCATCCCCACATCACCTGTGTCCCCCACTGCTCAAATCCCTCCCCGATTCCCAGCCCCGGCCTTGTGCTCTTTACTGTACCTGCCTTCCCCACTGCCAGGATCCCTGACCCCTTCACACAGTCTCCCTTGGCCACCAACCTCAATCTCCCAGCTCCAATCCCCTGAAAAGTCAGGTTCATAGAGCTCTCAACCCAGGGTTTTAGTGCTAGTTAAGAAATTGGTGGAGGGTGAGATGCTCATGCCACTCCCTGCCCTCATTGGTACCACGTGGCTTACCTCAGTGATCGTACCGACAGGGGTATCTCCGCCTTGTCCCTGACACACACCAGGAGAGGAAGATGTTGAACAGAGAGAGACATGGGACGGAAACTCAGTAGGATATATTCACCATCCCATGTCCACAACCCAGAACAGAACTCTAGAACTGCTAGATCCCACTCCCCGCCCAGAACTGGGGGTAGAACCCAGGAGTCCTGGCTTTCAGCAGCCCCAGCTTTGGCCTCAAGGATCATCCCCAGACTATCTGCAGGGACTGAATGTTAAATGTCTCCGGCATGAACTCTCAGCACTTCCTAAGCGAGGGACCAGGATGGAATTTCAGGGGAGGGAAGGCATGGTGATATGATAGTTCATAGGGGGCAGGAAAAGCCACTCACCGGATCCCCTCCAGCATTTCCTTCAGAGTCAGAGGGTCAATCATATCCTGGAGTGGGATGCAGACAGAGAGATATGGGAAGGCAGGGAATAGAAACCAGGCATCCTGACTTTCAGCCCCTCCGTTCTAACAAGGCCACACTCTCAGAACTGGGTTTGATGTGGAGTGCAAGGGAGGGGTGGGCACATTGGTTTGATAAGAGGCAGGTAGCATAGGCTGGCCATACAATGCCACCCCCTCTGCTCACCTCTTTGGCTTGCTCCCAGACATCCTGCTCGAGAGGGTTGGCATCCAGGGGGGGCAGGGTGAATTTGAAGTAGGGCCGCAGGTTCTTGTAGACATAGACAAATGGACCGGAGGCCACAGCAACGGCCGGCGTGCGTGGCTCATTCTGGTCCATCAGAAAGGTGGCCACAGCAGCTGGCAGGTCCAACAAGGTGCTCTCGCTGGCCAGCCCCGTGCCCCGGTATACCTTCAGCCTCATGGTGTGGCCAGCCATGCCTAGGTCACCCACCACCAGCTGGGGGGAAGACAGAGACAGAAGGATAGTGTTCATGGGTCCTCATTCCCAAACCCATGGAAGCTCCCACCTGCTGGGCAGGACACAGGCATCATCACTCCCTCCTGCCCAGAAAAATAACTGGCCCTGAATACCTACCCCCATCTTGAGAGACAATCCCAACATTCCCCATCCAAGTGCTGTTTGCTCCTGCAGCCCAAGATAGGATGGAGTGTGGGGGATACCAGGCCAAGGGGACTGAACTAGGAGGGAGTGGGAAAGGATACCAAGGTGGACAGATTCATGGCCTGGGGTGAGCAGGCAGGCCAGCCCTCCTCACCTTGTAATCTCCATCGCCATGCAGGTCAGCCAGGGCTGGAACAAAAAAGAGATGTGGCGTCAGCATCCCAGACAGACTCCCCATGTGCTAAGCAGGTCCTGCCATGGCCCAGTATCTGACAGGCATAAAGGGACAGTCTCCTCCCCAGTTAATGCTGATCACATTGCCCCACTGTGGGGGAACTGTGCTGCAAGGAGGGGAGGAGAATGGGGATTAGGAGGAGGTATTCTCTCCTCACAGCAGTGTTGGCTCATTTCATAGCAATTTAAGAGGCTTGTGTTCCAGGGCCACTGAAAAATGTAAAAGACTTTGAAATAAAAGGGGCTTTGGAAACATGGATTGGAAGAGCATGACTGGGAGCCATGGTTCTATCCCCAGCTCTAGGAGGAAAGTGGGGACTAGTGGTTAGAGTAGACTCTTGGGTTCTATCCCCAGCTCTACAAGGCAGACTGTTGCCACTATGCTCCAGGCTCTATAACCACAGGGCAATATCTGTTCTTGCTGTGTGTCTGGTTCCCATCTGGGATGCTCTCTACAGAGTCCCATAAATGTCCACAGTGACATGAAAGGTCGGGGATATATCCTAGGGGACAGTGTTTGAGTCCCCTGTCATGGGTAACCCTCCACAGGACCTAGTTAGCATGAGCCCAGCAGTTCTAGTCATTATCCTGCATGCAATCAGAGGGGATCACACTGGGCCTTGACAGCCAGGGCAGCGTGCTACACACTACAGTTTGTGATTTAATGGTGAGCTGAAGCTGGCTGGGAACTAAGCTTCTAACCTCAGCTTTGGGAGGAGTGTGAGGCCCAGGAGGTTAGAGTTGGGGGCTAGGACTCCTAGGTTTATCCCATTGTAGGAAGGGATAACGCAGACAAGGTTTTCTTCCCAGCACTAACAGCAATGCAACAGCTACTTTCCAGAGGGTTCTCCTTTGAGGACCCAGAAATGTGAAGCTGGGGTTCTGTAACTGAAGGGCAGGAGGGGGCTAAATCTTTAATGGAGAACACTTTCCTGCCAACCAGACATAGGCCTCAGAGTTAAATAAGCATCAGATCATCCCCTTCATTGCCTTCCCCTGTGTTTGTATGCACCTCACACACTCACTTTGAGAGAGGGGAGGCCATACAGAGAACAGGAGCCCAAATCCCCATAAGAATTAACAAACATGTGGGGGAGGGTTTATTTTGTATTCCCTCGGTTGGGATCCCTTGTCTCTGCACATAACTATGCTCAGCCATCACCACACATTTAAGTGACCTTGAGACCAGTTTTCTTTGAGGTATCTCACTAAGCTATTGGAGGAGAATGTGGGGTCAGATAAGGGATGGGACTTATCTAAGCACCCACAAACACAACATGGAAGGGGCAGGAATAAAACCCAGATGTTCAGATTCTCAGCACCCCACCACCTGCACATTAAAACCACTAGAACACATTCTCTCCCCGAGCCAGGAACAAAAACAAAAAGCCCTGATTCCCAACCCCACTCCAATCTAACCATTAGCTCTCACTCTCCTCCCAGAGCCAGAACTGGCCCTTTCTCCTCACCCTCCCCACCTCCACCCAAGAGAATCCCACTGGAGCATGCCCCGGCTCTCTCAGCTGGAGGATCCTGGACTTACCGATGCAGGAGGAGAAGGTGTAGAGATTGGCCATGGGGTCATAATGGGCATCAAGCCATTTGGAATTAGCTTCATTACTGGAGAGGAAGGGGTGTGGTCAGAGACAGGTAGGCACAGAGTGACAGAGAGAAGCTGGGATGTATGTTAGTCAACACATGGAACAGAAAATCCAGCTGCCACATCCCTCCCCATCTGCTCTAACCACTGGTGCCCACTCCCCTCCTAGAGCTGGGACAGACCCCAGAATCCGAGCTCCCTGCCCCTCCCTGCTCTAACCACTAGATCTCACTCCCCTCCTAGAGCTGGGACAGACCCCAGGGGTGGAGCTCCCCCCTCTAATTACTAAAGCCCACTCCCCTCCCCAAATGTCCCCACTTCCAGCCCCTCCTCCCACCCCCACTGGGTGGGGATCCCAGCCATGGCCGCCCTCCCGGCCCAGGAAGGGTTCGAGGGTCACCAGCACTCCCCTCACCTCTCGCTGCTGGAGGAGGAAGAGGATGCCGCCATGTCCACCCGAGGAGGGGCCAGCCAGGATCTGTTGCTATAGCAACCCAATGGCTGAGTATGGGAGTAACAGGAAAAACAGTCCCCTAGCCAGCCCCGGTGTCTCACTTAAATAGGTCCTTCCGGGGGAGACTGACCCTGGCAACTCGAGAGTTCCGGAAGTGCGGGGACTCTCTCTAGTCTCCCATCTCATATCTACTCCCTTTGAAGCTGGTGGGCAGGGGATTACTAGCAGATCAAGTGTTGCAGTGTCTAGGAGTCACCACCCCAGGAGCCTGGCTACCACTTGTATCCAGCCCCCAAAAGACATGTCCCCTGAGTCTTGAGACCTCCCCAACTTTCCTGCCCCAGAGAAGGATCCCCAGGAAGTAAAAGACCCTGAATCCCATACCCCTGCACCAACTAGTTCCCCACCAACCCCTGGACCCAGGTCAGAACCAGCATTCCCATAAGCCTCATTTCCCTTGCTTCCTAAGCCAGCTCAGCCAGTCTCCACCCTTCCCTCTATTTTTTTCCATTCATGCACAGAATAAATTTTGTGTGTACCAATACGTGTGGATGTGCACCACTAACAAAAACACATGCTACTGGCTGTTGATGCTGTAGGCGCTCTTCTAATCAGCTGGCACACAGTTGAATCTCTCCAGGGTGGCTGCCTGCTCAAGCACACAGCTTACAGGGAACACAGCCAGTCTCCCTGGAAACCAACAGGCTGAAATGCACTGCTCTGTCCCTTGGAGATCCTCAAATGCCAGGGGAGCTTGGACTTTGCTGCAGACTGGGCTGGTGGAGCTGGTGCCTGGAGAGAGCCCTGCCCAGAGCACAATGCACCAGGTGGGGAAAGCCTTGGGCCCATGTAGACAGGCACTCTAACAGGTCATCTCACATTCCCTTCCTTTAGCTTTGAAAGGCTGGCTGCTGGATGCAGTGTGGCACCTTAGGGACGGCCCAGCTCGTAGAAATCCCTTCCTGACCTCAGAACTGGTGATCAACTGCATCCTGAGAATCTGAGCAAGAGGATTCTCCGACCCACCTTAGAGCCCAGCCCACCTATCTGCTGTCCTGTCTCCAGCAGTAGCTACTCTCTGGTGCATCAGAGGGAAGTCGGGGGAAAAAAATCCCAGATACACCGGGCCTGAACAAAAAAAATCCCTTTCTGATCCACTGCAGATGATAGCCTGAATCCCTGAAACATGAAATCTGATTACAGCCATTTTACTGCAGACCTGCAAATGTTAGGGTTCTATTGAGGCCAATTCAGGTGACCCTGCTCTCCCCCTAGTCTCCAAAAGAAATGAACAGGGGGATTCAGAGACTCCATGGCCAAAACCATATCAGACCCATTCAGCACACACATGCTGGATCATGTCTCACCTTAAAGCCTCTTGGTGAATCCCCACCCCTCCTCAGGGAAGCCATTCCAATGGCTGTGGAAATTACATCAGAGATCACTATTAACTCTGTCTACATTCAATATTCCAGCCATTCATCTTGCTATGGCTTTGCAGCAGTGTTGAAAAGCTTCTATTACCTGCTCTCTTTTCTATCTGGAAGTATCTACACATGCCATCAAGTCAGCTCTCACCCTTCACTTTGATCAGTGGAATAGATTGAGCTGCTCATCATATAGCCCTTCGTAAGGCTTGTTGTGCAGCCCTGACTCAGTTTTGGGGCCCTCCTTTGAGCATTCCACACCCTGCTGGAAGCGTGTACACCTGACCCGGCATTAAAGCAGCAATCACACCAACACTGGGGACACAGGAAAAGTCATTCCCTTCTACTCACTATTCCAGCTCACGCACCCAAGGGTCATGTTAGCCCTTTTGGCCCCAGGGCTGCACAGGGAACTCCAAGTGAGGTAATTATCTATGAAGCCAGCTACATCTTTCTATGCATTGCTGCTTGAACCTGAATTCAGATATATTATCGTGAATGACAATGCACTGAACTTTTCAGGATTCTCATCCCAACTCTGGAGGGGAGTGAGGTCTAGTGGTTAGAGTGGGGGGGAAGGGAGAAGGGGAAGGGGACTCTTCGGTATTATACCCAACTCTGGGAAGGAAGCTGTTTTGGTGGCTTGTGCAGGTGGAAGGAAAGGGGAACCAGGACCCTTATTAGAGGTGAGTTTTTAGGGGAAAGGCCTCAGTTTCTATGGCCTATTAAACATCCTGCCTTTTTGTTACGGTTGTGGTGAGCAGCCCCATTAAATGCCCTTGTGGGACACATGCTGGGAGCTGAGCAAGTGCCCCCACCCTCCATTGCCCCATGGGACGCAGCAGAAAGAGACGAGAGGCAGATACAAAAACTAAGTGTATTGAGTCCCTGGTGCATTGAGAGTCTCCCTGTTCTCAGTCCTGGTTTGCCCAGAAGTGGGCGTCAGCATCTGACAGCTCCAGTAGATGGCGCTCTAAGAGCTCAGCATCCTCAGGGAATCGCTCGGTGAAAGAGCGGATCAGTCCAGCTGCGGTGCCCTCATACTGCACCAGGGTCACGTCCTCTCCTAGGGAAGAGGAGGGAGACAGGATCATGGCATTGCCTTTGTTGTGGCCCCCTCTCATACTCACACGCTCTCTCTCTCCCCCCCACGCCCCACACCAAGATCATGTCCTTGCCTGTGGAGGGAAAGGGGGATGAGAGGTCACAGTGTTACTCCCACACCCTTACCCTCCCTGTCACTCTGCTCCCTCATAGCCCTCTATATTGCACCCACCTCCTGCTCTTGTGACCCTCCACCTGCCCTCACCCTGTTGTCCCACATCACTCACTCCTCCTGGACTCCAACCTTTGCCCATCACCCCTACTCAGTGCCCTTTCCATCCTGTCCCTGCCACCAAGGCCTGACCTTCCAGCTGGCATAGGACTGGGGTAAGCCAGAGATCTCATTACCCAAGAGGGGCAGCAGGAGTGGGAGTGTGGGACAGAATTGTACCTGTCAGGTGAGTGTCACCCCAGAGCTAGGTGGATGGGAGAACCTGGGGGACTGGGAGAACTCCATATTCTCCAGGCAGCACTGCTCTGTAATGAGGTGCATAGGGGCTGGGCAGTGCTGGGGGATTCCATACCTTCCAGGCGGGTGTTGGCTTGCACAAACATCTTGCGTGCCTCCTTGCGCAGCAGCACAGTGTCACGCAGGCTCAGGAAACGCTCAGGCCCCTCATCTGTGACGGTCGAGTAACCCCCGTAGAGCTCCTTGCCCCGTGTCACATCCGCTGTGGATTTCAGCACCTGCAACACAGGTGTTTGAGACCCAGCCAGGTCCCCCAAGCTGGACTCCCGCATGCCCAAATACCCTTGCCATGGTCCCTCTCACAGCACTTCCTCACTGAACCCCACTGTCGAATAGCACAGCACCTCCTAACTCCACACAGTTCCACTGGGCCAGCACTGACTGAAGACAGCACCCCATCCTGAGCACCCAGATTGCTCCCTGCAGCTCCAGCCCACCCCTCACCTGCAGCTTGCTCAAGAACCGCTTAATAGCCGGCTTCCCCACGGGCAAGATCTTGTTGCGGTCGAGAGTGATGAGTGCGTCGGGTTTGCCATCGGCGCCTGTGGTGTGTTGCAGTGTCACCAGCCCTCCGCCTGCCTCCAGTAGCACCCGCAGGATCACGAAACGCGCCTGCATGTGAGCCTGGTGGAGGGCAGCAAGGTGCAGTGATCAGCCCAGGAGTCCTGGCTGCCCTAACCCATTAGATCCCACTCCCCTCCCAGGGCTGGGACAGAACCCAGGCTATCCCACACACAGCAGCCCTGCCACACTCAGCCCAGAGGAGGAATCAAAGGCTGCCCTGCCTCCTTTTCAAGGGCCATTGCCTGTCCCCCTCTCCCCCACCTCACCTGGCGCCAGGTGCCATTTTCAGGGGTGTAGAACTCCAAGCCCAGGAGACCAGCCCGCACCATGTTCAGCCAATTGATGTAGATCACGTCTTCTGCATCCTCACCTTTCAGCTCAAAAATCCTGGGAGGCGGGGGAGGAAGTGAGAGACACCCAATGGGCAACTCCTCACCTGCCATCCCCCCCACTGAAAGGCAGCTGTTGAATTCCTAGTTTCTGACTCTCCCAAACTCTGCAGAGTACTCCCTCCACCCCCACTCGCCCCAAGATGTGCCCCTACTCCAAGTTCTGCAAGGTTCCTCCATCCAAGATCCACCCCTGATGAGCCCCTTACAAATACACTAGGTCCCACAGCAGAGATTTGGGAACAAGGGATGTGTATAGACTGGGACAGGCCTCTCCTCCCCAAGTCTCTGCAGGACAGCAGCATTATCCTGAGCCCTAAGCCCTGCCATCCTCCAGCCTCCCACCACTGTCCCACAGTCTCCAGTGTGAGAACCCATGTCTCCACTCACTACCCCTTCCGTACCCAGGTAGTAGGAACCCATCAGCCACCCAGGTGACCCCAATCTGCCTGCTGTCCCTAGGCCTGGTGACAGCCCACACCTCCGGCCCCTCACCGCAGCACATCCTTGTTGAGGCAGAGGTAGAGCCCCACACACTCAGCCCGACACTCTTCGTAACTCGATGCGATGGTGGAGAACTTGCTGTCCCATGTCTCGCCACTCTGATACCAGGTCCGGACCTGTGGGGGGTAGGACAAGGTTGTGTGGCAGGGCTAGCACCTGAGGGAACTTCATAGGCAATGTGCAAGGCAGGACTAGAACAGAAAGTCAATGGGATCCTGTAGGTAATGTAGGGGAAGGAGTCTGGAGAAGATACGCATGAGGACACTAAAGGGGTTGGGATGCAGGACTGGCCGGTGGGGCCCACAAGGTGATCAAAGATGTTCAGTCTAAGATGGCTCTCTCCCTTCCCACCCATTAAAATCAGTGCTCTTCCCTCCCTCTCCCAGCTTCCTTACCAGCTCCCCCGTCTCTGGGTTGATCACAGTGTTCCTGTCGAAGTTAAAGGTGCCATCTTTCTCCTAAGGAATGGGAGAGACATGAGTATCCACGGAGACATCACAGCTCTTCCCATCACTCTCAGCCAGCACTGCCGTGTGCACTAACCAGAGATGCAGCCCCATCTGCCTTTATATAGGGATCCCTGGCCCCTCCCTCCATCCCCCACCAAAGGGGTGCTTACCTGCACAAAGAGCTTCCCGCTGCCATGCCCCAACAGTTCATGCAGCCCGACCTGCACCTCAAACGATGGCCCCTTCCACTTAATGTACAGGTCCTGCAAGAGACCCTCAGGCTCAGCCAGTGTGTGCAGTGACCCTCCCTCCTGATCCACAGATCCTGCTTCTCCAGCCTGGGCCTTCCTCCAACCCCCACAGCTCTGCCAATGTTCCTCAGCCCTGACCTACTACATCCCTGTTATCCCAGCCTTGGCCTTCCCTAACCCCCGCTTCCAGCTCTGCCCATGGCCCTTCAACCCCACTGCTATGCCAGCCACAGGCTCCCAAACCAGCTCTCGCAGGCCCCTCAGTCCCAACCCAGAAATCCCTGTTACCCCAGCCCTGGGCTTCTATGAATTCCATAGCTCTGCCAATGCCCCTCGACCCCGACCCACGGCTTCAAGTTCCCCCACACCTTGTCCTCCTCAGCAAGGAAGGTAAGTTTCTCCTTCTGGGTGGAGTAGGCTACTGACAACACGTTGCCCAGGGACACATTCTTGAAGCCTTCAGTCTGGCGAATGTCATCATCTGGAGGGCAGGGGGAAGGAAACACTTGGCTCAACCCCACTTGCCCCCAAACCTTCTCCCTGCAGCATAGCAACCCCTACCACTGCACCAGCACTGGGGTCAGCAAGCACTGTGAGAGGAGAGTGTTACACTCTCAGCCAAGAGAGGCTCAACTGCATCCATCTGACCTTGCCAGGAGACGAACCTCCCTAGGAGCTGCTGTACTCTGCTCCAGGGAAAGTTGCCAGGGAAGATTTCATTATTTCCAAACACTTTGGCTGGGAGAGTGTTAGGGGACGCCACATGGAGGTAGCAGAACTTTTATACAAGCCAAAAGATGAGCATTTAAGAGACATCTGCATCTCTAGGCATCTCCGGGACAAGTCACAGTGCAATGGCAGCAAAACATTGACTTGCTTTAATCAAATGGGTGAGCCATTTCAATGGGCAGGAAGAGTAGGAGGACTGTCTGTTGCTGGCAGTGCAAGATAAGATCATTGCTGCAGCAAAGGCAGAGCAAACAGAAATAATCGAAGTAGAGTCAATTCACACACACAGTGCTGAAAAATGTAAATGGCTTGAAATAGCGTTTCAGGAAAGCATGAAAGAAATTTACAAGCCAAAACCCTGTGGAAAATCTGCCATCCAACCCAGAAAATAGCACCACTTCAAAGGAAAATTAAAAATCCATGGGACAGATGGGGACTGCTGACCAAGAGGACAGGCTAAGCCTAAGCAGTCTGACTGGGCAACAATGTGCAATTCAAAAGGGGTACTCAGAAACAGGAGACAATGGAAGCTGTGATCAAGGCAGTTTGCCCAGGACTGAGCTTCAGGAGTTACCTGGAGGGAAAAACTAATGTGAGCCTGCCAAAATTGAGTGTATAATCTATATTAAAGGCCTATTACCAGGAAAAAAACGTAACAAGACTTGCCCTGCAGCTTGCAGGAGCAGCACAAAACAACCTCTCAGGATTTGCTTGTCCCAGCCCTAGTTTGCCTCACAAGAAGCTGATTCTCACTGAAGATATGATGTGCTACAAGATATGACTATACAGGAAAACCAAACTAACTGGTATTACTTGAAGAATCTAAAAGGCAGGTACATCAAGAACTACAAGAAAAAATGGGACATTGAGGAGCAAAGCAAGTAATCAGGCTTGCAAGAGATTGGTTTTATTGGACCCAGAAGGTGAGAGACATCAGACACTGTTCCTAGCGTCTGCCCATGTGACAAGCAAAAGAACCCTCACCAGAACACCAGAGTGTTATAAGTTCACAGTTGCAACTAAACCATTTGGGCTTCAATCCAGAGACTTCTTGCTTCTAGACAGAGGCAAAGGAGGATATGAATACATCTTAGTAATTAGGGATCACTCCACTAGGTATTTCCAAGACTATCTTCCCTTCCCACCACCACATCAGGACACACTATGGCAGACAAGATCTTTGGTGACAGTTTTAAAATTTAGTTTCCTCCAAAGGATCCATCAGGACCAAAGGGCAGAGTCTGCAAATAATTTTACTCCAAAGGTTACAGCACAACTGAAACACCTGGCAGAACTGCATACATCCATGGGGGCAATAGGCATATAGGAAGGCTGAGTCAGGCTCTGTAGGTTGTGCTGAAAACCTTGCCAAAAGAACAAGTCAAATTGGACATACTCCCTTAATAAATCTCAGAGAGGTAGCAATGTTAGTATGTATCTGTAAAAACAATGAGGAATCCTGTGGCACCTTAAAGACCAATAGATTTATTTGGGCATAAGTTTTCATGGATAAAAACCACAAAAGCTTATGTCCAAATAAATCTATTAATCTTTAATGCATTACAGGATTCTATTAATTAAGTGATTTTTGTCTATAACTATATATGGCATGAGCCACCCTCTTCTCATCCTTTTGTTTAATATGAAAGTTTAGAACATTTGCCCACTGATATTGCATTTGGTTGACCTATAAACTTGCAATCTGCACCTGAGCACTGTAAACATAATGTTGAGAAATGGAAACAGATAAAAGCAGCTTACAAACTGGCATTAACATGTTCAGAAAATTCTGCTCCTCATGAAAGAGATCACTGATTAGAAAGTGCATGGTGTGCTCTTGCTAGGGGCACCAGTAGTTGCCCACAGCGATGGAGACCAGGCAAATTAAGATTGTAGTGGGAAGATAAATATTCACATAGTACTTCCCAGGGAAGGGGAGAGTCTACGCCGGGGTAGTGAATTATATTTTGGTCAAAGTCCATATTTCTTGCTTAAAGTATAATCAAGGTCCAGACTCCAGAAAAAATAATAAAACCCAACAATAATAAGGTGACTTTACTAGATTGTGATATGTCTTTACAGATCATTGTTGCAACCACTGTTATATGTTTGCAACAAATCTTGTACAAAGTAGGCTACTTGAAATGTCTATGTAAAGCTTATGATTGTACTATTTGTAAGCATGTATCATTTTTGTACTTCAAGATATGAACATTAGCTGTATCTCTGTATTTCAACTGTTAGCTCCAGAAGTAACACCCACAGAGTAGCTAGTCAGTGTGTCCCAGAAAGACTATTCAGGATGACTGGCCAATCAAAATATTCAATGAACAATGAAGCATGAGAGGCACCCCCTACACTGAGTGGACTTTCCTGCAAACCTTCAATCTGAAATGCGGGCCATGGCTTCTGTTTATAAAGGCCTGAGTCATGCATGGACAGGTGACTTGCTCATGTGACAAACTCCATTCTGTAGCTGTACTTTTCCACATAGAGCAATGGGAGTCCCTCTTCCACATGACCTAGGATAATATGAAGGACCCTAAAAGTTCCTCCATGTGGTCTTCAGTCAGGATTCTCAACTCTGAAGGATCTTTGTGAGGAACTGAAGCTTGAAAATACTGATGATCCATCTTAACAGAGGAGGTATTCAAGAGACTTGATTTAAGACAGATTATTCTACCTCTGCTATAAGCCTGCACCATGAACTTTGCAGTCGGGTATGTACTTTGATTCAACTCACTCAAATAGTTTTGTTTAGTTTCTTTTCCTTTCCCTTTCTTTCTACTTTTAGATTTTAGATTCTATGGGACTGGCACAGCATGCTCTTTTGAGTAAGTTCTGGGTTCTAAATTGACCTGGGAATGTGGGATCAGAAGAACCCTTTTTGATTTGGTGAAATTAGTTTTCATAACCTCACATCTGCATAAGAGGTACTGGTGGTGGCAAAGAAGAACTGGAATGTCTAAGGAAATTGCTTGCATGACCTCTTGCCGGCCAGTGTGGTGAACAGAAGTGCTCTTTTTGACTTGTTTGGTGTGCCTTATATGGAGGAACCCCCCATTTTGGGTTGCAAGTAGCCCTGTCTCTAAGCAATTTACCCCGAATTGACAGTCAGAGCAGTGCTCCAGCATTATAAATGATGCTGATGATAAGTAAATAAAAAGATTTGAGATCTGTTCAAAAGCACCTGGTGATCCAGATTGGCCCCATAATCCCCCTATTGCTCACCCCAGCCTAGTGTCTGAAAAACAAGCCGAAGACAGTAAAGGAGGCATGTGCAGCGTAGAATCCCACCTTCTATTTCTCTGTGGCTTCCCTTGGTATGTAACAGCACCGCAACAAACCCACACAGGACAAGGCAAATGAGAACCAAAGGAAATGAAGAGAAGGACAGGAATTGGAACTCCAGGGACTCCAAGAGTGAAGATGACCTAACACTGCTGATGGTATAAGCTGCTGTCCATGGCACAGAGGCTCGAATCCAGAAACATTTCCTGTTCAGCTAGGAAACCAGGGTGCAGTTGACCATGTGCGCTTGGAAACTGCTGATCAGATTAATGGGACATTTGCACTAGCCACTAAAAGACACAACTAGGGAATCATGACCGCAGAACCTGAAAGAGCAGTGCTTAGAGGACAGATCACCAACACTTAAGGATCACGGACACGTAAGGCTGTCTGGCTAGAAAGAGAAGAGTCACACAGATGCTGACTTGGGAACCATTAGGGGCCCCTCAACATTAAAATCTAAACAGAAGTATTGGAATGGTGATGGCACCTGAGGTTGTCTTCATATTGGTCACATGCCAGGCCCAGTACCTATTCTTGTACCGTATCTGGCATTCTAGACAAGACTGGTGTAAAGGATATTGAATGACACGGTTGATCTACAATGTTTTATGGCTCTGGATAGTTTGTAATTCCATTAATTCTGTATGTTTTTCCAAGTAGCTTATCACATGCCCAGTGACTTGGAATTACATGGTTATGTTGATTTGACCACTTAGTGGGTGGGCACTGCCATTCCACAAGATAGGAACTTCTTTGCAGTATTACAACTGCCACAGAAACTTTCTGCTGAATGTGAAATAAATTGAAGCAAAATGCAGGACAATGTAGCACTTTAAAGACTAACAAGATGGTTTATTAGATGATGAGCTTTCGTGGGCCAGACCCACTTGCAATGTGATTTGTCCTTTTCATATTTGTTCTTTTTTTTAATTGTATCCTTTGGTATATATGGTTGTGACTACTTTCTTCCACTATTTGATCTGAGGAAGTGGGTCTGGCCCACGAAAGCTCATCATCTAATAAACCATCTTGTTAGTCTTTAAAGTGCTACATTGTCCTGCATTTTGCTTCAACTACCCCAGACTAACACGGCTACATTTCTATCACTGAAATAAATTGGAGAGAGATGCAGAAGATCCCACTGAACATACCAGAACTTGAAAGAGGGGAGGCTCTAATGACAATGACAGTGCTGAGATGTGGCTGGACGAGGTTATATTTTGCTCATTAACTGGGAGACCATGTAGAACTGCAGAGGGAATGCCAGGGTAGATTTACCCACCTTGTCCCTTTAAGGACTGAAGGTCTGCTGAGGCGTCCAGAGGAAGCTCTGGCTGAAGCAGCAGCATGGTGTGTGCTCCGGAAGCACTGAGCAGTGTTGAACGCACAGTGCTGAGATGTGGCTGGACGAGGTTATATTTTGCTCATTAACTGGGAGACCATGTAGAACTGCAGAGGGAATGCCAGGGTAGATTTACCCACCTTGTCCCTTTAAGGACTGAAGGTCTGCTGAGGCGTCCAGAGGAAGCTCTGGCTGAAGCAGCAGCATGGTGTGTGCTCCGGAAGCACTGAGCAGTGTTGAACGCTCCACCCATTGGGGCCAGCCCTCACCATGAAGGGAGAGCAACTCTATTTGGAAAACAATGGGAGGGGTGGGTGGGCACAGCCCACCCACTTCTCAAAGTCCCTCCCCCAGCCCTGTGGGAAAAATGACTAGACCCAGGGTCCAACTAATTTCTGGGGACAAATAATGACATAACAGGATCAAGGTGTGGGGGTCAAAGGTTTAAAACAAGGGAACCAGACGGGGACACCGAGCAGAGAACCCCGGACAGCGCCCACTGCTCCTCAAAGCTGTCGATGGAGCCAGTGGACGCCACTCAGAGGAACTCTGCCTGGATGCGTGACACAAGGTAGGACCAAAAATAGGCCCCACAGTCGCAGAGAACCCCCTCGTCTAGCATCCTCCTATTGATATTATATATAGTAGCTTTCGCCAGGGCCAGGAGGAGGTTGACGACTCAAGGGGACAGACCGTGGGCCTTACATGTGGTCTGGTCTCCTGTGCCAATGGATGGGATGCAGACGCAGAGGATTCTGGATAGTGCCTGGGTAGGAGAGTATTTTGGATAATGCCTGGGAGGCACAAGAGATTCTGGATAGGGATGCAAGCAGGGAGGATTCTGGGTAGCCCTAGGGAGGTGCAGAGGTCTGTGGCACAGGCACAAAGGATCATGGGTAGCACTCACAGTTGGGGATGTTGATGCCGGCCGGGATCCCACTGCCTGCAAAGGTCAGCACATCCAATGAGGTGAAGTCCGGCATGAGGAAGGTGTCCTTCTCGAAAGCACGGGGCCAGGGCAGCTCCAGCAGCAGCTGCTCAGCTGATGCCACCAGCTGCGCAAACTTGGCGCTCATGGCCTTGTTCACTACAGCCACGAATCCTGGGGGAGACAGTGGGTGCTGTGGAAGGGGCTAGCTAATATTGCCTCTCTGCCAGCCAGCCACGCTCCACCCACCGCCACCAAATGCAACCCAAACAGTGGCACAAACTACACTCCCTCCCTTACAGGCACCCCAAAGCAATTACAATACACACCCACAGCCCTCAAAACACACCTGCAGTACACAGTTGCAAGAGACACACCCCTAAGATGGAAACACCCCGCTCAGCAGTCAGCCACACCCTAACACAGTTGAAGTACACATGCCGGGAAGCACTCACCCCGGCTCACAGTCAGCACGTCCCCTTCCCTCCCACTACTTCAAACCGCGGCCCTCAGAGTCTGAGGCCAGTGTGTTTTACCTTCAAACTCCCCCCGGGAGCCATAGGGGTCTCGGTAGCTCTCGATAAAACCGATGTAACTGTAGGAGGAGAAAGCACATTAGATGGCCTGGCCTGCCCTGGGGCAGAGGAGACAAATCCCTCTGGTTCGCTGACCCCAGGAGGCAAATATCCCTATCAACAAATCCCTCTCCTTTCCCACCCCTCCAGTTGGCACCTGACTTCTCTCAAAACCCCTAGCTGCCGCGCCTCCCTGCTCAAACACCATGTCCCTCCCACAGCTGGGGACATCCTGGTTCCCAGCCTTGACCTTTCGACAATAGGCCCCTTGTCACGGATCCAGCAGCGGGAAGCCTCCTTATGAGCAGCAATGGAGCCCTGGGTGAAGCTGTGGATGTAATGTTCCAGCATGCTCTCCTGGTTGGTATTGGCAGCATAAGCCTGGGAGAAAGATCGTTGATCAATAATGACTATTCCTCTGAGTTCAGCCATTCCTCTCCCCAACCCCCTCCATACATTTCTGCCATTTCCTCAACCTCAGGAAGTGAGAACCCAGGAGTCCTGGCTCCCACTTCCGCCTCCCAGAACTGGGAACAGAACCCAAGAGTCCAGGCTCAGTCCTTTGGCTCCAAGACCATCCCCTCTCTCCGGATATAAAACTAAGGTTTTCCCCTGGTGCCAGGGTTAGGGTTTAAAACCTACAAACGTTACTGAGAGATCCCTGCCCTCCACCCTCCCACAGCCTCGGACCAACCCCTCCCCAGTGCATACGCCGAAGGGACATGCATGCCTTTGTACGTTGTAGGTTCTCCACCACTTTCTCCAGCAGGGGTGCGTAATCCCCGCGGGTCACACAGAACTTGCAGCTCTCAAATTCAAAGCAGCGCAGCTTGGGGGCCAGCTCAGGATCGACAGGTGCGTCTGGAGAGAGACCCAGAGACACACAATTCAATGGGGAGGTGAGGGGAAGACAGCAGGGACTGGGGGCTAGCATGGGAGTGGGAGCCAGGCAGCAGGCGAGGTGGGTGGTATAAGGGAGTACAGGTTGGGGAATTGAGGACAGATCCAGACAGTGTGGGAAGCATAAGTCAGAGGGAGTCAGGGAGGTGGGTGCTGTGGGGAGCGCAGACCAAGGAGATCCAGTGAGAGGGCAGAGGATGGGGAGTCTTACCAGTGCCCAGCACGGATGCCAGCCGCACCTCATAGCACGTCTGCCCTGCCTCATCCTTCTTCTTGAAGAGCCGTGTGTTGTAGGCACTGATGGTCTAAGACAGACAAAGAGATTTACCCCCATCTGACACTGCTCCCCACTCACAGGGCACTCTACAATCCCATGCAGAGGTTCTGGGATCAGAATGGGAGCCAGTCTGGTGCTGGGCACTCCCCTGTATGCAAGGGTTGTAGCAATGCAGAGGCAGAAAACACACCCCACAAAAGCAGTCAGGCTTGGGGTTGCCACGGGGGGACCCGGGGAACGTCCCATGTTTGCGCAACAACAGGTACCTGTGAGTCGAGGAACCTCTGGGCTAGCTGGGCATCTTCCAAACTGCAGTTCGCAGAGAAATAGGTGGTAATGCCCTGTGGGAGAGGGCAGGATGTTACAGAGAGACAGCTCAGCCCTATCTTTTCACTGCGCGCCTCGTCTCCCAGCTAACCCTCATCTTCCCCTGGCTCTAGGGTGACTAGAAATTGCTAGGATTTTTAATCAAATTTTTAAATGTACAGCCAATTTTTTAATCATTAAATAGACTTCTCTTTCCCAAGAAAATGTGTTTAAAATGCAGTTTGAACTCCTGACAGGCTCTGTCAAGCCCAAAACGTACTGCAAGCCATTAGGAAGAAATACACAATAGAAGAATATAGTACTTGGATGAGCCCTCCTCAAATCTTAAAGGGGGAAGTGCACGGCTTGCATACTTATATGAGCATTTGGGGCTAAACCATCTTTAATGGCAGAGGATGAGCCAAGCTTTATGCAGCTCACAACGGCCTGCATGTCCAGAGGACAGAGCAGAGTGAGACCTGGGTATGCCATCAGTTTGCCAATGGAGCAAGCACTGCTATCTGCATTATCTGAAACCACAGTTCTTTCAGTTTCTGTTCTGCACAAAAGCTCCCGCCTTAAGTTAGTTCTCTAGTTCAACCAGGAATTAATTCAGGGCAGCCCTATGACCTGTGACCTGATAAGAAATCAGACGACCGCAGTGGCTCCTCGTAGTCTAGAAACCATAAATCAACCCATATGAAGGGTTTATACCAACCAATGAGAATAAACCTTACTTTAGGAAAGCAACTAAAAAGTACAAAGAAAAAACAAGATGACAATAGGCTATTTCAATCAAGGTTTCCTGCTGGCTGATTTAAATCACTATTCAAATCAGTAGTTTAATCACTGATTTAAATCAATCCACCATGGTTGCTCCCAACCCTCCAGAATCATCATGTGTGCACAAGTGGGGTATTACCTTCTTTCCTAGCCCCAACTGTCTCTGCCGTGGGTCCAGTGAGAACATCAGCTCCCCACATCTACCCCACAGTGACTCCATTTCCTCTGGCTGCTCCTGGAATGCCTGGCTCTGCCAGATCAGCTGCTGGAGCTTGTCCTAGGAGGCAAAGGAGAAAGGGACTGAGCTGTGACTGAGAGGGGAATAAGTGGGCTGGAACCATGATATATGTGTATCGGGGCAAACAGCAAACTCCCCCTGCCTCTCTCCATAGACTATTCAACTCAATCAGGTACCTGCCTCGCAGCCAGTGAGGGGGATGGAGAGTGATGAATAGCTGGGTGAGGCAGATAAATACACACCCTGCTGCAGGCAGCTTGCACAGAGCTTTTGGCAGGAGGATGAATCTGTGTTGGGGAGCAGTGTTTTCCCATAGACATTCCAAAACATGTTTCAATCCTGTGCCCCAGACATGTGGTCCCTACCTCCACCCCCCGCAACCACAGACTCACCTTGGGCAAGTTGGGTACAAACTTGGTGTCCCCAAAGGATTTGTAGTTCCCCATGTTGGAAAACACGCCAGCAGCATAAACCAGGAACGCCTAGGTGAGAAGAGGAAAGATCAGTTCCAGCCAGGCACCCACCTTTCCTTCCCTTTCTCTAGCCCACTAAAAGCGAATTCCATATCAGAGCCAAACAAACCCAGCAGATCAGCTTCCCAGCCCCTTCCCACTGCTTTAAACCATTAGACTTTGCTCCCCACCCAGAGCTGGGGACGGAATAGAACCCAGGCCTTTGGGTAGGGCGGTACCTGGTACTCCTCGTCAGTGAGGCCAGCAGAGCATGCCAGTTCCCCCAGCTTGTTGGGGTCCTGGGCGCGGAAGAGGCGGGAGAGCAGCACGTAGATGGCTGGTGCTTCAGGCGAGGTCTGGAGCAGCACAATCAGCCCCCCATACCAGCAGGCACGCGACAGGTGGTGGGCATAGAGCCGCTCACCCTGCAGCAGCAGCCGGAAGGCCTCACTGCAGTCCAGAAGTGCCAGCCCCACATCGTTAGGCAACACGTACTGGGGGTCCACCATCTCACTGGTCAACCTGCAGAGAGAGCACAGGTGTCCCTCAGTCCCAATCCACAACCTGTGTTCAGTCCCAATTCACAGCTCCCCACCCTACACTCCAATATCCGTCCCTAGGTTGGCTATATCCTCCTCACCACACTCCCATACAGCAGAAAGTCAGCGAGGACAGACAGCTGACAGCTTGTGCCCCACAGCTGAGCCAAAGTGGCATGGGCACAACTAGGGGCACAAGCACAGTCATACAATAGCCTATCTGGCTCACCCACAAAACCACACAATTGCCCTTCCCAGCACCACTGTACAACGACACACCCAGCCCAGGATGCAGCACCCTGCGAAAAGCTGGATAAGGGATCCAGCCTGCATTAGCTGCCCCAAGCCCACCCTAGAGGCGACTATATCTCCGCATCAGACCCTCCCGACCGTGCCCCATTGCACCGTCACCCGCTTCTCTTACAGCAACATCTGCGCCCACAAGTGCCTGCACACACCCCTGCACCCGCTCCCAGCTGCGGGCGCATCCCCAACTCCCTGTGCCAAGGCCCCGGCTCTGGCTCACACCCGGCGTCTCCCCAGCCCGGGGAAGGCCTGTGCCCCTTGCACCGCGGGGCCTTCACCCCCCCACGCCTCCCACTGATCTGAGGATTTGCC